GATAGATAGATAGATAGATAGATAGATAGATAGATAGATAGATAGATAGATCTCACATACACACACACACACACACTTAGAGTATCTTACAACCTGTGGTCTGGCTAGTCCGACCACAGACAGTGGCTGTCTCCCGGTGGATAGTTCAAGAATCCAATAGTTACTCAGTCAAAAGGCTGAATGTCTCAGCTGTTCTTCAGTATATATCAGAGTCCTAATGAAGTAGGCTTTAATACAAGTGAAGGAATGAACTTGCCAGAGACAGTGAGGGCAAGCAGGCAAAAAAAGCAGAAGTTTCCTTCTTCCCTGTCCTGTATATAGGCTGCCACCAGAAGGTATGGCCAAAAACTTAGGGTAGTTTTTCCCACTGCAAATGATTTTCTTTTAAATCCCTCACAGGTGTGTATGCCAAGCTGCTTGGGCATTAGTTTATTTCACATGTAGTCAAGTTGACAGCCAAAAAATAACCATCACATAGAGCAAGTTGCCAAATTTGGCCGATTTGACAGTTATCAGCTCTCTTTTGTGCCCATCACCTGTGGTCTGAGCAAGTAAGGCCAGACAAGAAATGAGATAGGTATACTGAATTATAACAGAAATTTTTACCACACTGTTTCCAGTATTGCCCTTTACATTTGAGTGCTTAAGGTAGTAACAGAGTCTCAAATGTAACCACCCCAGTTCCTCCGGTCCCTCCAAAGCATCTTATACTGCCCCTCCCTGAGTCTGCCTCACAGAAATAGGGTGATTCTTTCACCACCAGTAGCCACCAGGCCCAGAACGCACCATTGTGTATAAAGATATCACTAAAGGTCAAGCTGCCATGCCCACTTATTCTCTTATTTGACTGGAGGCTGCAACAGAGAACAATGTGGAAGGGTAGGGGCCCAGCTGTTGCTAAGAAACAAAAGTCCTGAAGAACTGACAACTCACGGTGAAACCCAATCCACTATGGTCTTAAGCATTAGTTAAACACAAAAGGATCTCCGTAAAAGAAAACTGACAGGCAGTCCCCACAATAGAATGCTTGTGTGCCCTCAGAGCCCAAAGTCTGCAGATCACAGTCTTTCTCCTCATGCGGATCCCATCCATCCTCCAATAGGGAAGTTTCTTCGCCAGACAAAAGTGGATGCCTTTTTCCAGATGAGGATCTGTAATATCTGTTCTCAGGAGTAACCCTGAAAGACCCTACAAAAGGGAATCCAAATCAAACTGTATTAGGTACTGTTCTATTGCTGTAGAAAGACATATCATGACCAAGGCAATTTACGGAAGGAGAAACTTCCTGGGACTCACAGTTCCAGAGGATCAGTTCCCACTGTGGCAGGGAACATGGCAGAGAGTCATGGTGCTGGAGCAGGAGCCGAGAACTTACATTCTCATCCAGAAGAACAAGGCAGAAAGAGAACTAACTGGAAATGGATGGACTTTTGAAACCTCAGCACCCACCCTCAATGACACACCTCCTCCTATAAGGCCACACCTCCCAATCCTCCCCAGAGAGTTCAATCAATTGGAGACCAAACAGTTACACATATGAGCCAATTTGAGCTATTCCTATTCAAACCAGCACACAAGCACGACCAGATTGTCTAATAACTGGTTAGAAGCAGTTCAGTGAGCTCATGCCGTAGAAGATTCCAGCAGCTTGTTTGCACACTACCCCATTCCAGGTGGACACAGTTTATGTTCTTGTTGGGCTAGGTTTAAAAAATAACAACCACAGATGATGAACCTTCCGACAGGCAGACAGAAGCTCTGTGCTGATTGTCAAATTAATTAAATAAATAAAATAACACACACACACAAACAGTCTTTTGGCTTTTTGAGACAAGGTATTTTTGATAAGTATTTTTGAATCCTGGTAATTGGTTTCTCCACCAATGCAAAAAGTCAGATCAGGCCAAATTAAAAGTACAGGTTTAATGAGCAAAGCACTCCCAGGTGATCTCGAAGAATCAGAAAGGGAGAAATCACATGGCACCTCTAGGGACAGGAACTTAAGTACTCTGTAGACAGAGTCCTGAGAAGTTCTGGGAGAGGAGCCACCCTTTGAGCTTTCTAAGAAGGAAAGGGTTTGGAATAGAAGAGTGAGACGGGGCAGAGATTCCCTACACTTTGTGTTAGCATTCAGACTAGAAATTAGGAAAATAATGTTCAGATACAATATTTTTTCTCACTTGGAAATGACATTCTCTTTAGAGGGAAGAGAAAGAAGAGTAAAAAGGTAACTAATGAAATATGATTAGAAACTGGAATAATTTTAATAAGAGGAAGAGTTATTTCAAAGCAAAGACAAACATATTTAGGAGGAAGGTAGCAGTGTGGTCAAAGACCTTCTCAGGACTAGACTGGGATGCAGTCGGACCTTGTGGAAGACTAGAGGGAAGGCAGGAAGGGGTACACTTGCAATGGTACAAGGGCAGGGAGGGCTTGTTCTATGACAGGCTAGCGAGAGGTTGAGAGCTCACCTACTAATTATTATTATTATTAACCCAATACCCGTCAGTATTGGGTCCCCTCCCCCATTGCTGGATTCCTCCAGCCACCCATGCAATCCTCAACCAACTCAGACCGAATTAGTAAATCCAGATTTAATAAACAGGACGACGCAAAGCAGAGCACTCCTGAGAGTCTTTCAAGAAGACAGGAGGGCCAGGTGGTGGTGGCACACGCCTTCAGTCCCAGCACTTGGGAGGCAGAAGCAGGTGAATTTCATGTAGATTTCATATAGAAGATAAAATGAAAAATAATTTTAAAATTTTAAATCAATTTGATTTTATGTTTTCCTTATATTTGTTATTGTAGGTCACCTTTCTTTCTGACTAGTTAATATCATTTACTCAGAGCAACATAAATAAAAAATTGTACAAAATTACTATTTCATATACGCTAGTAACCAAATTTCAAAAAAATAAGAGCTGAGTTTACATGATCTTCAAAAGTTATTGGTATGTATAAATGTATAAAAGAAATGCATTTGAAGGGAATGAGAGAAAGTGCAACTACCCTGTTCACATCTGATCACGTATGACCTCATAGGCAAATCAACAGCCAATTTAAATTTTTAAAAATTTGTTTATTATGGGCTGTTAATTGAAGAAAAAGAGGCCATGAATTTGAGAGGAAGTGGGAAAGACATGGGAACTTGGAAGGTGAAGGGGGAAATTGATGCACATATATATGAAATTTTTAAATTAAATAAATGAAGATGCAGTACGATCAGTAATTAAAGGTCCCCAGACTATCTTACAAAAGATACAGCTTTAATAAAACAGAAGGAAAAACTTACACCAGAATCCCAACTGTCTGGAATGCTGAATCCAGGCTAGAGAGAGAGGGCAGGGGAAATGTACCCTCCAGGTTGATAGGTAAACTTTCGCCTTAGGGCAACACGCCTCACAGACAGAATGTGATTGGCTGAGCTCGCCTATCAAATAAAATTTTAAAGAAAAATAAAACCATTGCTAAAAGATTGTATAGTCTGCCGGGCGGAGGTGGCACACGCCTTTAATCCCAGCACTCGGGAGGCAGAGGCAGGCGGATCTCTGTGAGTTCGAGGTCAGCCTGGTCTACTAGAGCTAGTTCCAGGACAAGTTCCAAAGCTACAGAGAAATCGTCTCAAAACTGGGGGGAAAAAAAGATAATGTTGTCCAAAAAAGGTTTACTGCATGACTCACTGAGCCACACTACAGCTTCTATTTTCCTTTTTTCTTCTTTTCTTGTTTTTCCTCTTCAATTTTATTCTATTTGAGGAGGGTGTTGAGAGGGCAGATACAAAGAGATGGGGAAGGAATGGGATCCAGAGGCTTGATGTAAAAGACACAAAGAATAAATATAAATAAAGTTAAAGAAAGATAGTGTGGCCCAGGGAAAAAATAGTATATAGAAGAGCGTGAAGGCAGGATGTTGCCTGCTTTTTATATTTCCACTTGTTCTGTTTCTGCTTCTTCTCCCATCCCATTGCTAACCTATAAGACAGGGTATTTAAAGACACCAGGCAACTCATATTTCTTCACTGCCTAGCACCCTCAGGATTCTCTCACCTCCTTTGCACTGGGTCTTACAGGAGCTCGAGTGATCTCATCTTGGTCTGACTCCAAAGTCCTCTCCCCTATAGTTTGCCTGAACTCATTATGTTCCAGTCAGTTGGCTTTCTTTCTGCCACACTCCTGTTTCTTGTTTTCCTCTGCTGGCTTTGGCTCTGGTTTTTGTCTGTGCTTAGAATGCTTTTCTCAGATCCTGCCATGTGGGGTTTTTGGTGATTCCTTCAGGCCTCAGGCCAGATGTCCCTCCTTTAGGGATCCCTTTCCCCATTACTTTTCCTCGCTATCTCATTTATTTTCTTTATATTAATGATGATGACTTACAGTTACCATGTTTTACTTGTCTTGTTTCTTGCCTACTGCCTCATGCATGAGTAAGCTCCATGAGAAACTGGTACCGTGAAACATTACACTACAGAGACTTTTACAAAAGTCAAGATTATCTTTAAAGTCAGTTTTGTTGCTTGGATGTTCTCGTAGGTAAGGCAACTACTTGTATATCCCTGACTGAAGAACAAGCCTTTTCTACTTGGGGAAGGTCTTCCTCTTCAAGCCAGTATTGAGTTCCAGGCCAGCCAGGGATACACAGTCAGACCCTGTTTCAGGAAAAATGTCAGCTTTGCAACATTTTTTTTTTGGGGGGGGGGGGTTGAGACAGGATTTCTTTGTGGCTTTGAAGCCTGTCCTGGAACTAGCTCTTGTAGATCAGGCTGGCCTTGAACTCACAGAGATCTGCCTGCCTCTGCCTCCCAAG